ATGATAAAAAGACAAGGTAATAAAGGAAGAAGAAGAACACACCTGAGATTTATACTTCGAATTAGCGACCACAAGTAGAACATGTCAACACCGGAAATGCAGAAAGCAAGCACTGAGGAGAAAAGGATTTCTCACGATATCAACGAAGTCTTTTCCTTCCAAACTACAAAGCTCAGTACAAATACGAAAGGTTTTATCAAACAGATAGTCCGAAGGCCACAAAACGTGTTGAGTAAAACGATTTTACAGGGACACGTGGCGAGAAGGGGAAACGTTTGCACTTCAAAACCACCCACGCTTATCCTTAAACACCCACGTAACGACACTAGCGTTTAATGCTTCTGACAGTTAAACGTCTAAGCCACCGTTCTTAAGCGGCTAAAAATCATGATGACACTTTAACATGATTACCGCAGCAAACAAAAAGGACATATGGGATATAACTACCGCGCTCAAACAACATATTATAGCTCACAGCTTTGCCACATGACAAAACTGCAAGCTAGGGGGCAACTGATCCGGATAAAATATAGGCCCATTAGAAGCTCAATGACACACGAGGAAGCTCAATCCCATTAAGGATCCAGAGCAAAGCGCGATGGACAAACATCGCGCACGAGACGCGATGCCCTCATCGCGCAAGACAAGATGCGATGCCCATATCGCGGATAAAACCACCCTTAAGGAAGCTAACTTAAGACCCAAGGCAATCCCACCGCGCCTTTATACCAATAAATGGAAGACAGCTCCAGCTTGCCGCGACTCTATGGCTTGACATTAAGAAGATAAGGCTACTCTGGTTCTAGCACCGACCTGCTGCCCAAGCCTGGCCACTCAGAGGCCATGCCGTCTTACTAAGGCAGCATCATAACCGCTATATAAGCAGAGGGTACAACATCCAGGTACGATCATCTTTACATTAATAACATAAAAACTCCTGCCTCTGATACTGACTTAAGCATCGGAGTGTCTTCGCAGGTACCCCCCATTCGGATTTATTGCGCTGCAGTAAAGGACAAAGGCATAGTAAGATTCAACTCCAATTCCAGGCCCAAGACCAAGACAACAACCCACATCTCAACTGTGTGTGATTAGGCTCGATACATATTGACCAGCCCATATTGTATTTGGTCTGATCAAAAACCAATATCTGATTACTTTCCGTACCAAATATCCTTTTATTTGACCTACACCTACAACTTGGAAATTTATATTAATAAAATATGTTTAGTGCAATCAAATAATTTTGCTCGAAATTCAATACATGAATGCTGGGCAAATTATTCTTACCGTCAACTAAATTTAAAAACTACTCATTTACAAATCTTGTAAAAGTAAAAATATTTGGTTATTATAATTTAATATTTCAAATGAAACAAAATATCGAATCAGTACACAGAATGATTGATGGAATAACAAATTGGTTTGAAATCTTATCCGTGATTTATTTTGAATTGCTTTTTATCGAAAATCACAATTCAAGATTAATTTGGGAAATTCCATATTCAAGAAAAGAGAAACAAATTCAATCACAAAGATGCAATCACGTACAATAACAAATAATTGGGTCATAAATCATATAATTTTGGCTCTGATATCAAATGTAAATTTTTTATAAAATATGATTATATGAAATTAGAACATCAAAAGATTCAGACTTACTTATTGAAGAAATGATTTTGATTTCTTGAAGATTTTCTTGCTCTGATGCTCTTGCAAAATTGGAAAGACTAAGATCTTCCTGTGCAATTCACACCACTCCCTTATCACAATCGTCGATGGGGCATGTTGTGGAGTAACGATTTTCTAACACGTTGTGAATGCAAAGAGGACCTAGCCAAACTTATTAACCCTAGTTCCCTTCCCATCAATGGCCTATGAGTTAGGCCTACACTGTTATTCACACTAATCAGTTTACAGATATTCAAACCCAAATCAAAAGGATCACTAATTAACTGAACTTTATATTACACCCCTATATGAATCATGACTTAGCCTATTTTTATTAAAATAAAAAAAATTACAATTGATTGAAGTCCACAATTATTACAAAAATTTCTAACAAATGATATTTTGGAATAAAATATAAAAGAAATCATTAAAAAAATTTATTTTTAGACGTACGATAATGCATTCGTGTTGAACCATGGGTCACCTAAACCTTTTTTTGGGAGATCACATGTTTATACTAGTGGCTATGTGTAACAAGATTCTTGCTTACGTGCACTCTAACTTATTTAAAAAAAAGGATTATCTGAATAAAGAAACGAAAAAAAGGAAAGAAGAATAACAGAGAAAGTCATGTCGTTCTTCATGTTGTAATGCTCTCCTAAGTAATGTTATATATAACCTAAATATTAGTTATTTTTAAAAATACTTAAATCCCCCCCCCCCCAACCCCAAAAAAAATACTTAAATATTAGTTAATCATATATTTTTTTATTTAATAAGGACTTCAATAATAAATAAAAAAGATGCAATAAATAATTTGGGTTGTCAAATACCTTCACCTTTAATGTACTAGGATTATGGGTGTTAACGGGCCGAGCCGAGCTTTGGTCTTAAAAGGCTAAGTTTGTGTTTAAATGTATCAGCCTAACCAAGCCTGTTACATATTATGAATATATTGTCAACAACACTAGTGATTCTATAAATATTCATAAATTATAAGTTTAATGTATATCCAAACAACATAATATAAAACAAAATCATTCAAAAAGTCTGTTTAATTAATAAAATGGGATGAAATGGATTGAAGAGAGAGAGAGCTATCACAAGTAGTATAAAAAATATAAAATAAAAATAAAAATTAATATATTAGGCCAGCCTGAGAGGCTCTAAGGCCGAGCTTTTAAATTGAAGCCTGAGACTTTTTTATTAAACGAGCTTTTATACAAGTCCAAGCCTGGTCTAACAATCAATTTTAGACATAAAAACTCAGGTCTTCACGAGCCGAGCCAAAGGCCCCTGTTAGGCCCCTGGCTTGTTTAGCATCCCTAACTAGGATCCTATGCAATTTTTCTTAAAATATCTTATTCCTAAAAAATTATTTTTATACAATAATAATAAGGGTTTATTTTTCTCTCCTACTCCGAATACAGAGGAGAAACATTAACCCGTACTAATAAACTAAAATTTAGTCAAGAATCTTATGAACTATTGGATCACGAGCTGCACACACTACAATTATTTAAAAACTGCGGACCGTCTGTGTCATATTTGTTATGTTGAGAGGAGTTATAAATTGACTTTTATTGGTTTATTATACTTATTGAATTTTGATAAAAGGGAAAAAAGGCATGCATAAAAGGGGGAAAAAAGGCCCAAAGATTATGAAATGTGATCATCCCGCATATCTTGACCCGGCTGCTTCATTTCAAGACCAAAAATATTATGTTAACGAATAAATTTTTGGTACGATTGTTATATCAAAGATTCAGTGTATCTGATCAATAAAAATATGACATATCAGTAAAATTTACTTTTTTCTGCCAAATTTTTTTTTTTTTCTTCTGATGTGTAATGCTCTTATTGATAGGATATACTGAATCTAGGTGCAACAGTAATACCAAAGATTTATTCCATGTTCAAAATCTTTTAAAATTTCCCATGTTGAACAGTTAAGTCTTGGCGCCGCTTGGAGCGTGTTCCCGCGCGTGATTCTTGAGGTAACCAAGTCTAAGACCTTGTGCAGCATGCATTCTCTTTCTCTTACATTACCACCGTCGCCTAAATATATAATTTAGAGATAAGATTATTTCTTATATAAACATAAAAATATATGAAATCTATAATTTATTTTATTTCTCTTTTCTTATATTTTTATGTGTGTCTAGGAGATAAAATTATCTCCTACAATATGAGAAACATCAAACCCATAATTGAATTATAGTTTTAATTTTTGAAAATTTTGCTAATGAAAATTGATTTTCAAATGATGAACTTAAAATAAATTAATAATTTCAGGTACCAATTTATATATTTTTTTCATCAAACTTGAAATATTTTACGATCATAAATTTCCTTCCAATATAAGATTGATTCTTCCTATCAAATTTTAACAGAGTTGTGTTCTCGGAAATTGAAACTGAGGTCATTTAAACTGTAGCAACCTCTTACCAATCGATCCACATGCTTGATAGTATACACACTTCTATTTCTTTTTCTCTTCAACAGTCTTCAATGTTAATTTGCTAATGACCTATTAATTTTTAATAATATGAAAAATAATTGTTACCACTTAATTTGTGTCTATGATAAAACTTACAATTGAAAATATTTATTCTTTTTGATTCCTAATCAAGAAATGATGAGTATTCTGCCGCCAATTTGATTCGGGAGTGTCCATAATATTTGTCCAATTCAATTATCCTAGTTATTGGAGTTTAAAACTCAGAAATATTCTGAGCCGGCTGTAATCTTTGACGCCTACAACGTTACTATTGGTGTTCATTGCAAGTTATTTTTGAATCATATGCATAGTTACTATAACCCATTTGTGTTACAACTGTGTCCCTGCTTCACCTTAGATCCTACTATGATATAAAATAGTAATCTCTGTCTTAGATCCATTACTCCAAATCACAATCTGTACATGTAAAACTCATCGGATTTCATGATTTGGCTGCCAAAAACTTTAAACTTCCATGTGTATATACATATATGAATATATGTGTGGGAGAAGTCATTCATTGTTTTTGTTTAAGTTCATTGCTTCATTTTGACTTTTATTACACACATAAAGACACTCACTTACAACAACTACAAGGAGAACAAAAAGAAAACAATAGTTAATTGATATGGAAGCAGAAGAGGCAAGAGAAGATACTGTGAGGACAGTGAGCAATGGAAGGAAGACTTTTTCATCACCCAGAAGGATAAACTGGGCCACTGAAAGATTGCATGAGGCATTGGGTGGAAAGAGTGATGATGTAATTCAGAAAAGTGAAGGGGAAATTGATGAAGAAGAAGAGCTTAAGTGGGTAGCTTTGGAGAAGCTTCCAACATATGATAGGATGAGGAAAGGGATTCTGAAACAAGTTTTAGATAATGGGAAAGTTAACTATGAAGAGGTTGATATTACCAAGCTTGGAGTGCAGGAAAAGAAGCATCTTCTCGAGAGCATACTAAAGACTGCTGAAGAAGACAATGGGAATTTTCTCAATAGGATGAGGGACAGGATTGATAGGTGGGTTTTTGAATATTTTGGTTGGTTGTGTGTGTGTGTGATGTTCAGGGCCATATATGGTTTCATTTATTAGTTTAATTTATCTGTGTTGTTCAATATATGACTAGTAGTTTTTTTTTTTTTTTTTTAATGTATTGTTTGTTCATTATTGTAGGGTTGGAATTGAGATTCCTAAGATTGAAGTCCGGTTTGAACATTTATCAATTGAAGGGGATGCATATATTGGAACAAGGGCCTTGCCAACACTACTCAATTCTACCCTGAATGCAGTTGAGGTATTTTCAACAAAGAGGAGGTTATTTTTTACAAGTCCAATTGTAGCATGTATTGTTTAGAATAATAGTAATATTTACACTGATTTTACACACACAAAAATTGATATTTTGAAATGGGATGAAGTGTGAAGCAATGAACCTCAAATACAATTTTGTTTTTTGCGTTTGATTTGTTTGAGTTTGTTTTTGTTTTTTTCACAAACATGTAGATGAATGTTTTACATTACTTGATTCTGCCTCTTATATGATTCCTGTTTGTGGCAAATAGGGAGTTCTGGGATGTATCAAGCTTTTGCCATTTAAGAAAAGGGTTGTTGAGATTCTCAAAGATGTCAGTGGAATTGTGAAACCATCAAGGTACTTTATTAGAAAACACTTATTGTTTTACAAACTATCATAATGTAAATTACTTTCTACAAAAATGCATGAATTGTATTAACCTGGTTGATATTTTGGTAACTCGATTTTATTTTCTTTCTCTCTCTTTCCAGAATGACTCTGCTTTTGGGACCTCCAGGGTCAGGAAAAACCACACTCTTGCAGGCACTAGCTGGAAAAATGGACAAGGATCTAAGGGTTGGTCATCGTCTTCCTAAGTTCTAGCAATGATAAATATATCATTAAACGAAAAGCTATCAGATTATTAAAACGTGTCAAACAGCAAAAGAATTTATGAAACTGTTCAGAAAAATAAAATTATCATGTCAGAAAAAATAGGGAAGTTATACATTAAACCTCTTGTTGCTGTATATAGAATAGAAGTCCCACATTGTGTGTATATGTGTATATTTGTTATTTAGTTTAATATATAAAAGAAATCTCCTTCGTGTAGTTCACACAAGGATTATAGTCATATGCCTCTTGTATTTCTGATAGGTAACATGGTATCCAGAGCCAAACAAGAGGAAACCTAATCCGCGTTTTTTTTTTCCGGTGAACCACTGTTCGCTGCGTAAAATATTTTTTTTTTTTCGGAAACTGTCATCCTTGTCAGTTTCCGGTCATCATCTTTACGATCCAGGACCTTTCCGATCATCGCTGCTGTCCAGAACCGCCGTTGACCACCGTCTCCGGCGACTTTTCCGGCAAATTTTCAAGCAAACCATACACGGTTGTGATCGTCTGGACAAGGCGGTCCTATCTGTGCCGGACCCATCCCCGTCCTCTTCTCCACGCGCTCTCACGCACGGGCCAAAGGGACTGCATCCAGATTTTTTGCAGTGGCGCGTGGAGGCGCGTGCGGCTGCTTCTTCACGTCCGACCACCACCTTCCAACTCGTCTTGACCTTGCGCACCTGGATCTGTCCTCGTTTTGTGTTTTTGACTTCGTTACGGCTTCCTACTGAGCGTTTTACTTCGCTGGTTACTGTTCACACGATCTTTTTTTGTGCTTTCCGCTACTGTTTATTTTTGTTTCAGGTGACCTATGGCTGATTTGTCACCCCACGATGCACCCAAGGGTTCTTAAAAGAATGACACGCCTGTTTTCTCTAATTATGTTAATGTTCCGCTGCACGTCGACAAGTTGGATGGCTCCAATTATGATTCTTGGGCTTCCGATCTCCGACTTTGGCTTGATGGACAGGATTAAGCTGACCATCTCATGACTAAGGCTGAGTCCATCTCGGTAGATGCACGCCCTTATTGGAAAAAGGTTGATGCTCAGTTATGTAGCATCATCAAGTCTACCATCCACCCGTCCTTGAAGCAGATTTTTCGTGCTCACGTCACTTGTGAGTCTGTTTGGCGTCAGACCAAGTCACTTTATACCAATGACACTCAGCGACTATATGGTGTTTGTCAAAATTTGATCACTACTATTGCTGCTCAACAACTTGATGTCTCTATATCTGCTTACTTGGGAAAAGTTCAGGGCCTCCTTCATGATTTCAATGAACTGTTGCCGCCTGCTGCCGATCTTGCTAAAGAACTTGAGCAACGCAACACGTTCTTCATGCTCATGGCTCTTTATGGTTTTCCCCCGGAATACTCTGTCAACCGAGATCAGATCTTGGGCTCTCCTACTGTTCCATGCTGGACTCTGTTTGGTCTACGTTGCTTCGAATTCCACCTAAGACTACTATGGAGCCTGCAGTATCTGCTCCCTCTTCAATTGACCCATCTGCCCTTGTCTCCAAGGGTTATGCACGTGGACGCAAACCCTCTACGAGACGTTTTCTATGCACTCATTGCAACAAGCCGGGCCATACTATTGATCGTTGCTGGGATCTTCACGGTCGTCCTCCTCGCTCCGTTCATTTTGCTCAGAGTGTTGCTCCTGCCTCGGACTCCGCTTTGATTGCTGGACCACAGCCACCTCCGTCTGTTCTCACTGATTTCTTGCAATGGTCTGAAGGGAAACGTCCTCCTGGTACCACCGCCTCTGGTGCACATACGGGTAATTCCTTTGCTGGTGTTTCTCACTCGCCCTCTCTTGGTCCATGGATTCTCGATTCTGGTGCATCTGACCATATTTTTGGTAATAAGTCTTTATTTACCTCTCTCTGTACGTCTGGTCCCCTGCCCAGTATCACTATGGCTAATGGGTCACTGGTTCAGTCCCAAGGGATTGACATTGTTCTCCTTTTTCCTTCTATTCCCATTAAGAATGTGCTTTATATTCCTCATTCTCCTTTTAACCTTATTTCCATTAGTCGCTTGAATCAATCCCTTGACTGTATTATTTCTTTCACTAAAGAGTCTGTCATTTTGCAGGATCGGAGCTCGAGGAGGACACTTGGCGTCGGATCTGAGTCCAATGGCCTTTATCAGCTTTCTACTTCTGTCCCAGTGTGCTCTGTTGTGGATTCTCCGCTTACTATCCACGCTCAGTTGGGTCATCCAAGTCTTGCTAAGCTCCAGAAGATGGTCCCACGTTTCTCAAATTTATCTAGTTTGTCTTGTGAGTCATGTCAGTTAGGGAAACACACTCGTAGTTCGTTTCCTGATCGTGTCAGTCGTCGGTCTTCGTCTCCTTTTGCTTTAGTTCATTCAGATATTTGGGGTCCTAGTCGTACCGTTTCCACTATGGGGTACAGATATTTTGTGACTTTCATTGATGATTATTCTCGATGTACTTGGTTATTTTTAATGAAAAATTGGTCTGAATTGTTTTCTATTTTCAACAAGTTTTTTAATGAAATCCTTACTCAATTTGGTGTTTCGATTCACATTTTTCGTAGTGAAAATGCTCGTGAATATTTGTCTCATCAGTTTCAAACCTTCTTTGCATCTCACGGCATCCTTCACCAGACATCATCTTCACACACCCCTCAACAAAATGGGATTGTTGAACGCAAGAACCGTCACCTAATTGAGACCACTCGGACACTTTTGTTACATGGTCATATCCCCTTCCAGTATTGGGGCAATGTTGTCCTCACAGCTTGTTATCTCATTAATCGCATGCCTTCCTCCGTACTTAATAACCAGGTACCACATTCTGTGTTGTTTCCCCATCAACCTTTGTACCCACTCACTCCTCACATCTCTGGTTCTACTGATTTTGTCCACAATCTCAGTCCTGGTCTTGACAAGTTATTTGCTAAGTCACATAAATGTATTTTCCTGGGTTACCCTCGCTCACAAAAGGGTTATCGTTGTTACTCTCCCAGTCTTCGTCGTTACTTTGTCTCGGCAGATGTTACATTCTTTGAGTCTATTCCATTCTTTGACTCCTCCTCCCATCCCAGTGATTTTGTTGCTACTCAGCTATCTTTACCACCTGTTTCCGTTCACTATATACCTTCACCATCTCCTTCTTTAGATGTCCCCGTCCCTGTTCTCGCCCCTGTTCCCCCCTCCAGGTCTATCATCGTCGGCAACGTCCCCCTGTTCCCCAGGACCCTGCCCCCCCCGAGTCTGCCCCTATTGTTACTGAGGCTCTTGTGGACTCACTTCCGTCATCATCTCCTCCGGCAGCTCCGATCCTTCCGTCTGACATTGATGTGCCCATTGCACTCCGGAAAGGTACTCGTGATTCTCGTCCCCCTCCCAGGTATTTAATAAATTTGAGTTATCATCGTCTTTCACCATCCCATTTTGCTTGCCTCTCTTCTCTTTCTTCTGTATCTGTTCCTAAGACTACAGGTGAGGCGTTATCACATTCTGGTTGGCGACAGGCCATGATTGATGAGATGAGTGCACTTCAAAACAGTGGTACCTGGGATCTGGTTCCCCTTCCCTCAGGGAAGTCTGTTGTTGGCTGTCGATGGATATACACGGTCAAAGTTGGTCCGGATGGTCAGGTGGACCGTCTCAAGGCCCGCTTGGTGGCTAAAGGTTATACTCAAATATTTGGCCTTGACTTTGGTGACACATTTTCTCCCATGGCGAAAATGACTTCTGTTCGCCTCTTTATTACTATGGTAGCCATTCATCACTGGCATATGTATCAGCTGGACATAAAGAATGCTTTCCTCCATGGTGATCTGCGGGAAGAGGTTTATATGGAGCAACCTCCTGGGTTTGTTGCTCAGGGGGAGTCTAACCTAGTTTGTCGTCTCCGAAAATCCTTGTATGGTCACAAGCAGTCTCCCCGGGCTTGGTTGGGAAGGTTTAGCACTGTTGTACAGCAGTTTGGCATGACTCGAAGTGAGGCTGATCACTCAGCCTTTTACAGACACTCTGATTCAGGTTCTATTTATTTGGTAGTATATGTTGATGATATCGTCATTACAGGTAATGATACTCATGGCATAACTCAGATAAAACAACATTTGTGCCATCATTTTCAAACAAAGGACCTTGGAAGACTCCGATATTTCTTAGGGATAGAAGTGGCCCAATCCAAAGATGGCATTGTACTATCACAGAGAAAATATGCTATGGATATTCTTGAGGAGACAACATTGTTGAATGATAAGCCCGTCGATACTCCTATGGATCCAAACGTCAAGCTTTTAGCAAATCAGGGGAGCTATTTTCTGATCCAGAAAGGTATAGAAGATTGGTTGGAAACTGAACTATCTCACAGTTACTCGACCAGACATTTCCTTTGCAGTCAGTGTAGTAAGTCAGTTCTTGAATTCTCCCTGTGAAGATCACTGGAATGCAGTAATCCGTATCCTCAAGTACATCAAGACTGCTCCTGGAAAAGGTCTTCTATATGAAAACAAAGGTCATACCAGAGTTGTAGGATACTCAGATGCTGATTGGGCAGGTTCTCCTATTGATAGAAGATCCACTTCTGGGTATTGTGTATTCGTTGGAGATAACTTGATTTCCTGGAGAAGTAAGAAGCAAAGTGTAGTTGCTAGATCAAGTACTGAAGCAGAATATCGCTCCATGGCCACAGCTACCTGTGAACTCATCTGGTTAAAACAACTACTGAAGGAACTCAAGTTTGGAGACACTGGCCCAACATCTCTCATTTGTGATAATCAAGCTGCTTTGCATATTGCTTCAAATCCAGTGTTTCATGAAAGGACTAAGCACATTGAGATAGATTGTCATTTTCTTAGGGAAAAGGTTCTCTCAGGAGATATAGTCACTCGTTTTGTCAACTCAAATGATCAATTAGCTGATGTATTTACTAAGTCTTTGAGAGGACCTAGGATAGACCAGATATGTAACAAGCTTGGTGCATACGATCTATATGCTCCAGCTTGAGGGGGAGTGTTGTTGTACATAGTATAGAAGTCCCACATTGTGTATATGTGTGTGTATTTGTTATTTAGTTTAATATATAAAAGAAATCTCCTTCGTGTAGTTCACACAAGGATTACAGTCATATGCCTCTTGTATTTCTGATAGGTAACACCTCTAATTGTCTTATAATTACTTTCCTTATAGTTAGATAAAAATCAAAGCAATCATTACAAAATGATATTAAATGAAAGTTGCTAATCTAATTTTGATCCAACCATAAAAAAATTGTTCTAAGAGATTATAAGACAAAAATGATTGTAAGTATAATCTTTCTCTATAAAATAAAATTAATTAGTTGATCAATATACTAATTAAAATAAAAAAATTTATTTACCAGGGATTAATATTTTTATTGGATTGTTATTATTTGATATACTGAAAAATGCTAAATGATAGTATTTTGTCAACTTTAATTATGATGTAAACCTAAAACACAAGACATTTAATATATGTTTCATTTCACTTATACGTACCATACTTAGTCAGTTCCTTCTTGATGCGAGATTTTTTTATCCGTAACACTTGAATTCCCAACAAAATTGAAACAGAAATTTCGACATTTAACTCTGCATCACAAAATTTCTTAACAGGCATCAGGAAGAATCACTTACTGTGGTCTAGAATTGTCAGAATTTGTTCCTCAAAGAACATGTGCTTATATTAGTCAGCATGATCTTCACCATGGAGAAATGACAGCGAGAGAAACACTTGACTTCTCTGGACGCTGCTTGGGAGTTGGAACAAGGTATGATCTGCTGACAGAATTGTCAAGACGGGAACTGGCAATAGGTATTAAACCAGATCCTGAGATAGATGCTTTCATGAAAGCCACAGCAATGGAAGGTCAAGAAACAAGTCTTGTTACAGATTACATTTTAAAGGTTTGTTTGGTGATGTCATTTATGTTGGATGGGGAAGGATCAACTTACACTGAGTGTTAGACTCATTATTACTGATTGATGTCACTTGCAGCATCTAGCTAATGTCTCTAGTTTATTAGTTATGTGTGTTGTTAGATGCTAGTGAGATCAACGACTAAGACCTTTTATTCTTAAACCGTATAAGTTGATTCTTCCCTTTTAAATTATTTCCACTTTAGGCATATGTCAACTGTCTTTCATCTAATTTTATTGAGATACTGAACAGATTCTTGGATTGGAAATATGTGCTGATAATTTGGTAGGAGATGAGATGAGAAGGGGGATATCTGGTGGACAAAAGAAGCGTTTAACTACTGGTAAGTTGACAAGAAATTTCACTTCAAGAAAGTGTCATGTGGTACTTGCATGTGTCTTTCCAAGGATAGTTAGTAATCGTACTATTCATTATATGATATGAGAGCATCTAACAATGTGATCTAGAATTCAACTTTTGTCGTCCCAATTCTTCTAACAAATATTGGATATTGTGAAATATCTTCATATAGATAGGTGGACTCATATATTATCCATCTTTAAAATCCAATAGGCTTTTGTATTAGGGAACATGTTAAAAATATAATATAAAACAATTCATCAACTTTTCCGTAGTCGTTTAAACTTTTGAGAGAACTGCTTCATGACATTACTTGCATTTAGAAATCTTTCAAAGACACATTGTTAGAAACATAACATATAATCATTACTGTATTTTCAGCTAACAACTAAAGCTTTGGCTTTTGGGAGAGTGGTTAGCCATTGGATAATGCATTCGTTGTGTTGGAACTTTTTTAAATGCTCCAAATGAGTGTACCATGGGTTTGTTTGGAAAAATTGTCTGTACAGAATCATCCATTTTGTCAGTTCTTATAAACTGTAACTTACAAATAAACTGAATCCAGGTGAGATGTTGGTAGGACCTGCAAAAGCCCTCTTCATGGATGAAATTTCAACTGGTTTGGATAGTTCCACGACCTTCCAAATTATCAGGTTTATGAGGCAGATCGTCCATATCAATGACGTTACTATGATAATCTCTCTTCTGCAACCAGCACCAGAAACATATAATCTTTTTGATGACATAATATTACTTTCAGAAGGTGAGATTGTCTATCAAGGTCCCCGTGAGAGTGTTTTGGACTTTTTTGAAAGTGTGGGATTCAAATGCCCAGAAAGAAAAGGAGTTGCAGATTTTTTACAAGAGGTAACTTCAAGAAAGGACCAAGAACAATACTGGTTCATAAGAGACATACCTTACCAATATATTTGTGTGCCTGAGTTTGTAGCCCATTTCAACAAATACAGCATTGGTCAACAACTTTATGAAGAGATTCAAGTTCCATTTGATTCTAACAAAACTCATCGTGCAGCATTAGTGAAGGAAAAGTATGGAATCTCCAGATGGGAACTCTTCAAGGCATGCTTTGCAAGAGAGTGGCTATTAGTCAAGCGCAACCATTTTATATACATATTTAAGATTCTGCAGATTATTATCCTATCTATTATTACCATGACAGTATTTTTAAGAACAGAAATGAAACATGGTAAACTTGAAGATGGAGGAAAATATTTTGGAGCACTATTTTTCAGTCTCATCAATGTAATGTTCAATGGAACTGCAGAACTTGCAATGACTGTTATTAGACTTCCTATTTTCTTCAAGCAGAGAGATTTCTTGTTTTATCCAGCATGGGCTTTTGCATTGCCCATTTGGGTCCTTGGAGTTCCTCTCTCTTTATTGGAGTCAGGATTGTGGATTATCCTCACTTATTATACTATTGGCTTTGCTCCTGCAGCTAGTAGGTATGAGAATGCAATCTCTAGACAGTGAATTCCTCAATAACATAGAAATGAATTACTTGGCATACTCTTCTATCATTCTTAGTTTTATTGACTTGCAAATTTTGCTCAATGGTGTATCTAAAAACCTGTTACAGGTTTTTTCGACAATTATTAGCATTCTTCTGTGTGAATCAAATGGCCCTAGCCCTTTTCCGCTTCATTGCTGCAATTGGAAGAACAAAAGTTGTGACAGTCACACTTGGATCCTTCACAATTTTAGTTGTTTTCGTCCTAAGTGGATTTACTGTTTCAAGAGGTAAGCAGTGGATTCCCTTTATTCCACCTATACCATCTATATCACTCCCTATGAACTAGCAAGAATTGGGATAAGGACAATCCTTGTACGCACCTTACCCTTGCATATTTGTAAAGAGACTATTTCTTGTATTCAAACCCGTGACCTTTCAGTCACAAAGGAGCAGCTTCACTACTGCTCGAGGCTTGTCCTCTTTCTTTATACCACCTATACTACATAAAAAAAAGCAGTCCCTATTAAACCTTGATTAGCAAGGGAAGAGGTGAGGGCAATTTTTGTATTATATGCAGCTTTATCTTTGTATACTTACAGAGAGACTATTTTCTTTTGTTACAAAGGGGCACCTTTACACTGCTCGTGGATCGCCCTCTTATCTTATATCACATATACTATACTCTAAAGAAATATTTTAATATTAAATTATATTTTCCATATTTTATGTGAAATTGTTTCATTTAAACTGATCACTGCAACCTCTCTCTCCATTTATAGATGCTATTGAGCCATGGATGATATGGTGCTATTATTTTTCACCTATGATGTATGGACAGAATGCCATAGCCATCAATGAGTTCCTAGACAAAAGATGGAGTACTGTAAGATCTTATAATTGTGAAGAGAATTACTGTTCTTAATCTTGTAAAACTACATCAGTATTAGTTTATTGCTGATTCTTCGCTTTTCACAGCCAAATACTGATAACAGAATTCCTGAGCCCACAGTTGGGAAGGCTTTTCTTAAGGACAGAGGCATATTTACAGAAGAATATTGGTACTGGATATCTATTGGTGCTCTTATAGGATTTTCTCTGGTTTTCAACATTTGTTTCATTCTCGCTCTAACCTTTTTGAATCGTAAGTTTCCATACTAATCTTTCTTTATCTATTAGATTTCGTTTCTTAAATTGTTCTAAAATCTTTCCAGTAGAATTAGTATTTTTTGAAAGAGAATAGTACAAAGAAAGATTAGAAAAATACCTATTTTAAAGATAACAAGAAGGAAAGAAAGCCAAATAGAAAACCACAATAAGAAAGCAAAGTCACCAATACGACTGCATGAAAAACAGTGACCATCTGAAAAATCCATTATCAAAAAACTCCATCTCATATTGCTTTTAAATTAAAATGCAGCATTCGGGAACTCTAAATATATTATAGTGGAAGAAGAGGACAAAAGGAAAAGCATAACTGCATCATCCTCAGTGGAAAAAATGGGAACAGAAATTCAAGAGCAGAATTCAGCTTCACTTGCTAAATGTTTTGAAGGTAACATAGCTTTTTCTAGTCACAAGAAATGTTACTTCTATCCTAAATAGAGTTTACCTTCATCAGTTTATGTACCTTATCTACATTTGTATTAGGTGTACCACATCTTGAAATGCTGGTATGACCTTTGCATTGTTGTGTTAGTAGTGTGCAATTTAATATAAGCTCTCTTGGCAATAACACAAAGATAATTATAATTATTACAGATGCTGACATGGAACTAAAAAACACCGCATGTAGCTCAATTCCTAAAGCAGCAGAGAAAGCAAAATCCAAGAAGGGAATGGTGTTGCCCTTTCGGCCTCTGTCACTTGCTTTTGAAAATGTGAATTATTACATCGATATGACAAATGTATATTCCAATTCCCTCCTCTTGTACCATTTATATCATATCTCATTATTTCTCTCTTTAGATGCAATTTTATACGAATAATTTGTTTACCATTTTCTTTGGCATTTTATTTTCTGGCTATGCCAAATATCCGGATTTACTGTTTTTTTTTTTTTTTTCTTGCACTCACATTTATAACTAAAATTCCACCATAATTCCTTACTCGGCTGTAAAACAATACATTTGTAAGAGGTGAGAGGAACTAGTCTTAACCATTAATATAAGATTAAATGGTTAAGATTAGCTCTTCTAACCCTCTCCCACTCTCACCTGATACACTTCTTACATGTATATATGTGCGTACATGGTCATATGTATGTATGTATATGTATGACTTATGATTAATCAATGTATTCCTATTATTATTGTAAGACAGAAAACATTTTGATCATAGAAAGGAACTAATTGCTTAAAGAACATTAAAAAAATAAAATAGTTAAGTTCACATGGTAAAAGTTGTTTCTAAATTTAAAATTATTTTGAAAGTATATTATGTTATCACAACTCCAAAATGTCACTTTGGTGTTTTATAATCAGGAAATGAAGAAAGAAGGAATTGCAGATAATAGACTCCAACTACTAAGAGATATAAGTGGTGCTTTCAGGCCTGGAATTTTAACAGCATTAGTTGGAGTAAGTGGGGCTGGAAAAACCACCATGATGGATGTGCTTGCAGGAAGAAAAACTGATGGTTATATTGAGGGAAGCATCAGCATATCTGGTTACCCGAAGAACCAAGCAACTTTTGCTCGGATTAGTGGATATTGCGAACAAAATGATATCCATTCTCCGAATCTTACTGTCTATGAATCCCTTCTGTTTTCTGCTTATCTTCGTCTCACTAATGAGGTTGATAAAGAAACACGAAAGGTATGTTCTCTTCTAACCGATTCTCATGTTAAACTCCTTCTCACAGGCTTTTATTGTCTATTTGAAATATGTATCCACCTCCTTAGTCAAAAACATGACAATGTTCTATGGTTCTAGTGCATCTTTTTCTACATGGACAAGTGTGGTGAGTGAGATCAAGGGTTCAAATACCAACAGTGTGTGTGCACGTGATAAAAATCCAATATAAAAAAGAAAATAATTTGTACTCACAAGCCATGGGCTTTATGTTTTAACTTCCAGAGTTGAAACAAACTAGGTCATGTTCCCAATTTTAGATGGGATGATTGTATATAAATTTATGTTTCAACATTGAATCTTCCAGGGATTTTCATGAGATTAGTAGGTTCTGAGTTACTCTTGTAGGACTTTCCCTCCCTATACTTGTTTAGTTTACTGCTTCTAGTAGTTGGTTGAAATCAATAAATATATTATTTGTTACGATCCATTTGTAAGGTATGGGACTTAGAGTATCACATCGGAAATATAAGGTTTTGGTGTAGGGTTTATATGGATTTAGGTTCTCCTATCTTACAAGCTAGCTTTTAGGATAAGCCTTTCCCAAAATTCCTATCAATTGATATTAGAGCTTCCACTATGTCTCCCAGTCGCAATTGAGTGGTGCGACTGGTGACGCTAACATTACAGTGTTAGCCTAGGGCTAATAAAAAACTAGCACCATGCTAAGCCGTGAGGGCATCGGGGCTGCGAGTGTGGTGAGATGTTACGATCCATTTATAAGGTATGAGACTTGGAGTCCCAAATCGGAAACATAAGTTTCTGGTGTGAGGTTTATATGGACTTTGGGTTTTTTTACCTTACAAATTATCATTTGAGGTGAGGCTCTCCCAAGATTCGTATCATTATTCATCTAAAAAGGCAAGTGCCAGTGCACTACCCTTCTCGACGTGCAAGGGAAGCGGTGATGGTTGATTGTATGCAACCTTACCCTTTTGTTTTTGCAAAGTTTCCCACACTCGAACCAATGGCCTTCTGACCGCAAGGAGCAACCTTAATGCTGCTCGTAGACTCGCCCTCAAATTTTGATACGATACCAAACTTATGGTTGAATTCTAGAAGTGTATAGAGGGGATAAATACATGTTGAGTCATCAAATCAATTATGGGAGAATATATTCCCAAATTTGTGAGAGTGGGAATTGGTTAGTAACTGTGCCAAGTTTGTTACTGTTGAGCTGTTAGAATAAATAGGGGATAGTAGGAAGATGGAAGGATCTTTGGAATAAGGACTTTTGGGAACCTCTTGGGTGAATTGGGAGAGACTAGAGCCTCTTGAATTGCTCTAGAACCTATCTTTACTATCTCTCTTTTCATTACTGTTATTGTATCTTTCCATTACTATTCTTGTAATTGCTCATAGAATTGTATTGTCTCTATTATTATCATCTTTTTACTGGACACTGTACCTGGTTCATATTAATATACTGTCACTTTGAGTTGTTTTTTCAATTGTACTGTTGAATCCTATCAATATTATTCATATGTTAAAATAAAAATAAAAATGATACTTTATGTTCCATACGGCTAGAAGCCATTGGAAAGTTACAAGACAATAATGCAAGTTTCACATGCATTAACGTCTATTTCATATATTGTTAAGGAGAAATTAATTATTTGTTTCCAAACTCCACGCATTTTTCAAGCTTAATGTTGTAGCTAACATCAAGAAAAGTTGAGATGCTTTTTTTCATTACAAGTACAACTGTATTAACTCAGGGTAGTCAGTAGATTAAAACCAACAATTCTACTCTTATTTTGTTCTGACCAAAGATAATAAAAAATAGTTTATCATTCTTACAGATGTTCATTGAGGAAGTTATAGAACTGGTCGAGCTACATCCTGTGAGGAATTTCAGGGTAGGCCTTCCAGGAATAGATGGTCTATCTACTGAGCAAAGAAAGAGACTAACAATCGCTGTAGAATTGGTTGCAAATCCTTCCATTATCTTTATGGATGAGCCAACAACTGGTCTTGATGCTAGATCTGCAGCAGTTGTTATGCGAACTGTTAGAAATACAGTAGATACAGGTAGAACTGTTGTCTGCACAATTCATCAACCAAGCATTGACATATTTGAAGATTTTGACGAGGTAAACATAATTATGAAGATTTTGCAGAGGAAAACTGTTATTTATTGTTAGAGAAATATAATATAAAATCATTAATTGGCTTTTACCTAATAGCTTAAGCTTTTTGATTGAATTGATTTTTTACATAGTATCAGAGTCTCAGTACCAAGTGGTCACAAGTTCGATCCTTACCGCCTCTCATTCTATTAAAAAAATAACAATTAAATATTGTGGAGTTTCTTAGCACCGATAGACGAGGCTTGATTCATTGTCTATACTTCAAGCCCAATGGGCTATTATGTGAGGAGGCATGATAGAGAAAAATAATATAAGATCATTAGTTGTCTTCACTTGATAGCTTAAGCTTTTAGGTTGAATTGTTTCTTCATATTTATATAATGGTTCTGAAGACACCAAACTCACCTTTGAACTACATCTTGACTTCAGCTACTTTTGATGAAGAGAGGTGGACAAGTGATATATGGCGGTCCTCTTGGTCGAAATTCTGAGAAGCTTATAGAGTACTTTGAGGTAAATCTCCAACCTGATAAAGTATAAATTCTTGAATTAGTAAAATGTCAGTAATCTTATACTGATTGTGTATAACCTTTTTTCAGGCTATTACAGGAGTTCCTAAGATTAAAGATGGATATAATCCAGCCACATGGATGTTGGAAATCACTTCTCCTGTAGTTGAGTCTCAGCTTGATATAGACTTTGCAGAATTATACACTAACTCAGATCTTTACCAGTAAGTGGAACTAACTCATATTCATAGCTATGTTCCCAGAGATTCATGCTTTTTTTTGCCCATATTGGTCAGAGATTTTACATGATGTTTTACTTTTCCTCACTTTGAAAACTCTATTCCAGAAAGAACCTGGAAATTATCAAGGAACTGTGCACACCAGCACCTGGAACAAAGGACCTTTACTTTCCTTCTAAATACTCCCAATCCTTTGTTACTCAATGCATAGCTTGCTTCTGGAAACAGCACTGCTCCTATTGGAGGAATCCTGAGTATAATGCCATCAGATTCTTCATCACAATAGTTATTGGAGTCATTTTTGGACTTATTTATTGGAACAAAGGAGATAAGACGTAAGTCAAGAAGTTGATTGACAGTGTTACACTTAACCAGTACCTGTTAACTTCTACTATTGTTTCTATCTAAAATAAACAATGACATGTTTCTATTCCCGTATTATAGAAATAATCATCTTTGTAATATTTGTACCTGCTGCAGCCCATCAATAAGAACTCTTGCTTTTCTTATCTAAGAAAGATTCAATCAACAACTTATTTGTCAGCATGTTAATGATAAAGTTATCTTAATATATATCATTTAATAACTGTATAAATATTACATGAGAACACAATATTATGTCTGCAGGGAAAAGGAACAAGACCTGTTGAATCTCATTGGAGCTATGTATTCAGCTGTTTTCTTCCTTGGAGGCTCCAACACTAGCAGTGTGCAACCTGTTGTTGCAACAGAAAGAACAGTTCTCTACCGTGAAAGAGCTGCTGGAATGTACTCAGAAATGCCTTATGCAATTGGTCAGGTAATACCAGCCTAACCCTTCACTTCCAAACAAAGTAAAAAGCATATGACTCAGAAAATTACACAATGCATTGAAAAACTACTGTCTTGCAGGTAGCAATTGAAGTAATTTATGTTGCAATTCAAAGTCTAGCCTATACCATTATCCTATACTGGATGATTGGGTTCCATCTGCAAGTTGGAAATTTCTTGTTGTTCTACTACTTCATATTCATGGCCTTTATGTACTTCACACTGTTCGGAATGATGACTGTATCTCTGACACCAAACCACCAAATTGCTGCAATAGTTATGTCTTTCTTCCTCAATTTCTGGAACCTCTTCTCTGGTTTTCTTATCCCAAGAACGGTATGTGTATCACAACAATGCTCAAATATATTTCTTTGCTTGTCCCCTGAAAGCAACACAAATTGATAGTTTCACATTAGCCTGCATTATTGAATTCAAGGAGAATATTTCACACAACCTATTCACATCTCTTTCTGTTTTATTTTATTTTATTTTTTTCTTTTGATTCCTAGACCCTACTACTATTAGAGTAGTGCTTAAGGAATTCCAAATAAGGAAAATGGAAAAAGAATATTCCTTAAAGAGATGTTAAATCTTTTATTAATAACTTTGCAGGCAAATGTTGTAAGTTAGTTAAGTAAACTAGACCACATAGCATTAAAATTTAAAGAATATGGGAATGAATACTCTCATGTTTCATTTAATATGAAAATGTCAATTGAGACGATATCATCTATCTATAGACAAATCAAGAGTTATCATTTCTTCACTCTCTATCCTAAATTTCTCTCTGTCTTGTCTCTCGTCACCATTGATTTGTCTATGAATGACTCAGATTGTCTCACATGACCTTATCTTGAGTAATATTGAAGACTTGGTCCATCTTGTTAAAGATGAAAAAAAAAAAGTGATTCACATAATTACATTTATTATTTCCACTTGTTTATTATTAATACCACATGGGTCCTACTTATTCCTCTTTTTGGTAGAAGAACTATACAATTCTATGGCTTATTTCTGAAACTGTTAGTTACTTGTCACTTTTGCAGCAAATTCCAATATGGTGGAGGTGGTATTATTGGGGATCCCCTGTGGCTTGGACTATATATGGATTGGTGACATCCCAGGTGGGTGACAATAATAGCCAAATAGATGTTCCTGGTTTTACACCTATGACAGTAAAAGATTACCTTGAGAGGCAATTGGGCTTTGAGCAAAGCTTTCTTGGATTTGTTGCTTTGACTCACATTGCTTTCTGCCTCCTCTTCCTTTTTGTATTTGCCTATGGCATCAAGTTCCTAAACTTCCAGAAAAGATAATCTCAGAGGAATGAACATATATGAAAACTGCTGTGAAAAAAGACGTTGGGTAAAATTACCTAAACAACAAGTCTCCAACACTTATATCCTGTAATGATATTATTGTATTGTTCAATCTTTGTTTTCAGTTTCCTTTTATTTATGGTTCTTTTGTTATTGAAGGGTTGATGAGATAACCAACGCATGAAAAATCGGTGACTTGTATATGATAATTAATTTATTAAAATTAATGTTTCTCGAGTTAAAGGATACGATTTTATTTGCAACACATATATATCCTCACTGCTCATTTTCTTAGTATCTCTTACTGCTAAATATTAATCATTAATTTCTGTCAATCTAACGATTGTAATTTATTGGATCATACTTATTAATTAATTATTAATTTCCGATAATTACAATTGTTAGATTGACATAACGATTAAGATTTGACAGTAAGAGATAATAAGTATAACATCTCCCTATATATATATATATATATATATATGAGGCAAGATCATTTGACACTGGTGTCAAATTTAAGGTTTGACACCTTATCTGAGAGCCGTTAGATCAAAAAAGATCAACGACTCTGATTTGTAAGCATGTGACACCGTTGATCTTTTTTGATCTAACGGCTCTCAGATGAGGTGTCAAACTTCAAATTTGACACCAGTGTCAAAGGATCCTGCCTCTATATATATATATATATATATATATATATATATATATATATATATATATATATATATATATGCTTTAATATTTCTATCGTGAATGTAGATAAATTATTTACATTCGCTCCCAAAACGACATCGTTTTAGGTTAAAAAATTATAATAAAAAAACTATTATAATCCTGAAATAAATTATAATTATAAAATTATCTACATTGACTGTAGAAAAAACTAATCCATATATATATATATATATATATGGAAAAAAAATTAGATAAAGTTATCTCTTACAGTTCTAAAACGACTACGTTTTCGTATTGTAAATTAAAAAATAAAGGGTGTTTTGAAAATTTTAGATTCCCTTTGATTCATTAATTTTACTAAAATACCCTTTATTTTTAACCTATAATCCTAAAATGACTTCGTTTTGTGACTGCAGGAGATAATTTTATATAATGTGAAAAGAGAAATATTAATTCACACACATATATATATATATATAGTAAAATCATATCTAAAGTCGTTGTACATGCAATAATGACATGTGTATGGTTATGATTACACACATTTAATGTTTTCACCTTTTATATGGTTATGATTTCACACATTAAATGTTTTAACCTATATATATGAAAAATTTGTCATTGCTGCACCTATCTATCTATATATATATATATATATATATATATATATATATATATATATATATATATATATATGGTTCGCTTTTTCTGCAGTTACTGCAGATAACTTATCTGCAGTAAGCCCAATATGACGTCGTTTTGGGCGGAAATCATGGTATTTTTGTAATTTTAATTTGTTTCAGGGTTATGATAGTCTTTATATTTATAATTTTTTAAGATTTCAATCCCAAAACAACGTCGTTTTGTGAATAAATGCAGATAACTTATCTACATTAACTGCAGAAACATTTTTCCCATATATATGTATATATAAATATATAGGGAAAAAAGTATTTAATGTTACTTTAGATAACTTTGTCTAATGTTCATCGAAACGACGTCATTTTGCGGTTGAAAAATTAAAAAATTAGAATGGTAAAGACTATTATAACCTTGAAATAAATTAAAATTACAAAAATACCATGATTTCCGCCCCAAAACGACGTCGTTTCGATGAACATTAGATAAAGTTATCTAAAGTAACTTTAGAAAAAACAAAAATATATATATATATATATATATATATATATATATATATATATATATATGGGTTTACATTTCTGTAGGTGTTGTACGTGCATCAGTAAAATATTTGTCATATATATATGTGAAAGCATTAAATGTTGAAAATCATAACCATACACTTGTCGTTGTGGTACATAAAGCGGTTGTAGAAATAATTTTAATATATATATATAAGGTTATAGTTACTACCTCTCTTTTTTACTACCTTTTTCTACTAAGTTTTAACCGTTAATTTCTGTCAATCTAACGGTTGTAATTTATTGGGTCATATTTATTAATTAATAATTAATTTTAAATAAATTATAACAGTTGGATTGGCAGAAATCAATGGTTAAGATTTGGTAGTAAGAGGTAGTAAGAAAAGAGGTATTAAGTATAATCTCTCCTTATATATATATGATCAACTTACACTGGTCTAAGAGTAACAAGTTTAACACCAAATCTTAACCATTAATTTTCCTTAAGCTAACAGTTATAATTTATTAGATATTAATAATTAATTAATTAATATGACCCAATAAATCTTAACTGTTAGATGCACGAAAATCAACGGTTAAGATTTAGTGTACAATTTCTTATTCTTAAACCGATGTAAGAATAACATGCCCGTATATATATATATATATATATATATATATATATATATATATATATATATATATATAAGGCAGGATAATCTTATACCGACATAAGAATAAGAAGTCTTACAACCAAGTCTTTGTCATTGATTTACTTCCGTCAAAACTTTCGATGGAACTTTTCTCCGTCGAAAATAGTTAAGAACTCATTTTTGTCAAAACTTTTGACAGAAACTAAATTCCATCGAAATTTCCGATGGAATATTTTTTCCGTCGAAATTTTAAAAAGAAATGCAAAACCAATCCACGTCATCAATTTGCATGAAAATTTTTGACAAAACCTTTTTTTGTAAAAAAAATTAAAAACAAATTGTCATCGATCCACATGAAAATTTTCGATGGAAATCATTAAATAAATATTATGTTAATGCTTTATTTTTCAACGGATAATTTTTTGTCGAAAATTTTGACGTAAATTTATTTTCGTAAAAAATTTCGACGAATACTAAATTATGTCGCCTTTGGACGAAGCACATTTTGACGGAAAAATTTTATCAAAAAAGTGTGAAAAATACATAAATAATTTTTTAGAAATTTTATATTTATTTATTTGTAAAATATAATAATTATATTATTTTTTTAAAAAGTAAAATCCTAAAAATATCTCATAACCTTCCATTTTCTCCCTTACTTTTTTTTTAACTCTCAAACAAGGGAATGGAATACCCTTCGTTTCCCTTCCCTTTCTTTCCCTCCCTCCCCCCTTGGATCCAATGGTGGACCTGCACTGTTGCCCATGTGGGCAAGTGCAAACAGTAACTTGTAAAAGTAATTTTTTTTTCTATTAAAAAATTGATCTGTTTTGCTGCTGGAGTTTCCAACTTATAAGCAACCAAATGTGTTCGGTCTCTGAACTCTGCCACTAAATGTGCATACATAAATACAATTTCTTGGGTCCGCCACTGCTTGGATCCCCTTCCTTTCCTTTCCCTTCAAACTCCCAAACAAAGCCTTAGGAAAATCCGTCATGGCATGAAGAATGGTGTTAGGTGACATACTACAAATAGGACATACGTCACTTTCGTTACTCTAGTGAGCAATCCAGCTCTTCATTGGCAATCTATGATGCATCAACTTCTAGTTAAAGAGTTTGACTCTTTGTTGTAATTTTACTTTCCACACCTTATCTTATTGCCTGAGCGTTATGGGAATAAATCTTTGGTGCAATAATTGCACTGAAGACTCAGTGCAACCGACCAATGGGAGGCCAACATACATCAGAGGAGAGAGAATACAGGCTGATGTGTGCTGCTCCCATTGGTTAGTTGCACTGAGTCTTCAGTACAACTGTTGCACTGAAGATTTATTCGCGTTATGGACGCGAGGGTATGCTGGGAGGCGAGGGCAGCGTAGGCAGCCTTCACTGAGATATCAAAATAGCCAGGGAACTTCCATTTGACTTTACAGGACCAGCTTCAAGGGTGGAGGGTGGGATACTCCTAATAACTTGGAATAAGTGGGGGGTTTAGCCACTTTGTAAGGAGTATAAGATCCCAATCACCTTCTACGTTACAATTTCAAACACTTTTTTGTTCAGCATTGTTTGTGGGATGACTGAGAGAGTGAAAGAGCAAGATTACCCTGGCATAAAGTTATGTTTGGGTTTGTGCATAATTGATCAATTGTATGTATTCTTTATTTTTTTGTTATATAATGATACTAGCAATATTGAGATATTTCTATGTGCAAAATTCAATGTCTTAGTGATCTATACAATTTAATTAATTAGAGAATAGCCGCAACATCTTTAATCAATTAAATCATATATATTAAAACTCTCTAGGTTACATAAGGTATACATCATTGAGTGTAATTAATTGAATTAAGCATATTAGTTCAATTGATTAGGATGAATGTCTCCGACATAGGATACTCGTGATTTATTTAAAAAAAAAGTAAATTAGGATTCCTTGTTTACCAATAAAGATTATGAATAGGAACATATAGTGTCTGTTTGATTTGCTTAAAAATAAAGTAGTGGAAGGGACACAACTCTTTGTTCAACGTCTGATGTTAAAAATAAGGGAAATTATTCTCTCATGTAGTAGGAGAAAGTTATCTTATATTATAGATACATCAATAAATGTGTCTTGTTTTTTTTATTTTTTTAACACATGGTGGGACCACTATATGCGAAATATTTTTTAGACTTGCAGACTATATAAAGACTTGGTGCTCCCTCTCACAACACACATTTTTCCTTCTCTTTTTTATCCTGCTATTTTATGTCTTCCCTTTTTTTCCCTCCCTATTTTCACAAGGGGACCATGAAGGTATATCATCAGAAACGCGGAAGCGCATCGTACCTATGTGATGAGGAATGAAGAACACCACTTTGATTACCTGAGATGAAGCAGCGAGCGTGACAATTTCTCACTGTAAGAACCCGCACCGTTAATTAAGGTATTTAATTAATTAATTATGCAAAAATAGGAGATGATTCCATAATTGACCCTAATAATTATTTATGAGGCTTAATAATCATAATAAGTGATTGAGAATGCTGAAAGTCGCTTTTCGGAAGAAAAGTGTAGATACTGGTTCTGCTAGTCGGTATAAATGTGTG